GCGCGTGTCCCGCCGGCTGTGTGTACACGTTGCAAGGGGGAGCGAGCTCTCAGGACCTTGGAGGAAGCCTGCTGCCTTCATGTCCACGCTGCTCGTCCATCAGCCCCAGTATGCGTGGCTGAAGGAGCTGGGGCTCCGCGAGGAGAACGAGGGCGTGTATAATGGAAGCTGGGGAGGCCGGGGAGAGGTATGCGGGCGTCCGGGGAATCTCGGCGGCCTCAGTTCGCTCCGGGAGGCCGGGCGGGCACTGCCTAACCCGATTCCCTGCTGCACCTGTAGAGGATGTACTAGATGGAAGCTTTGAAGCCCCCCAGTGAAACTTTTCGGTGCCTTAAAAATACCTTTAGATTTTTAGCTGTTTGTGCAACGGGCAGTCGATGTCATTTTGGAACTAGTAGGGGTTAAACTTCCCACGCGTCCTTAACTTTGTGGCAGATTTCTGCGATCGGTAGTGAGAAATGCCACGCGCTTTAGCGGTGGAAGTTAACTTAAAATCGTGCCTCGCTGTGGCTTCTCAGACGTGACTTGCGCAACAGGGAATGTTCTTCGGTAGAGTTGTATCTTTTCTGAAATCCTTTGGAGTTTGCAAGCTCAGACTTGGTGAAATCCTGACGTGTTTTTCTTGGGCTCTGAGGCTCCTTGAGGACCGGGTTCCAGCCTGTTTTCCGCAGCCTAATGTCATGCCTGGCACCCATTTAATCCTCCTTGAAGTGTTCTATAGAATACCTTGTAAAGGTAAAGTTATTACTCCCCAGAGTTTTTGAAAGCCGTATACAAAAGAAAGTTTTTATAAGAATATGTTATATGTAATGAACCTGCTTTGTTAGAGGAAACATCTTTTGCTTACCTGTGACGGTAGGGAGATGCAACTCGTTTTAATTATCACCCCCCTGCCACTAGGTAGTTGCATTCTCCTTTTCCTGTGGCATCCATCATTAGGATCTTGGATAAAATACCCTCTCTTGAAGGCCTTTTTATTTTTAAGCCACGCCTTGATTTTTTCCTTTCTAACTGACCTCCAGTGTGTGTGGGGGGAACAGGCCTTTCCATTAGTTGTCAGGCCTTGGCTATTTGACCTGACCAGCGGGTTACCGGCCGGGTAAGGAAAAGAAGGAGTAAGTAAAACTCATCAGTTTGGTCTTGTTCATGGAAAAAGAGGTGAAACAGCCAGTTACATTTCGGCTTTTGTTTATATACTTAATACTTAAATAGCAAAGGTGAGATTTGCAGAAAGGTGGTTCAGAATTTTTAGGTCAAAAATGAGTGAGAGCGCTGTAGGTTGGCTTATTTGTAACTGAAAGTAAAGGCCCAGATTTTGGATATTGTATCAGTCCATTTCTTTTTTTTTCCTGTGTCCGCAATTGGGCAGAGATTACATTTGCTGTGTATGATGGTAATCTTTTTGTTTTAAGGTTATCACGACCTATTGCCCTGCTAACAATGAGCCAATAGCAAGAGTCCGGCAGGTAAGGGGTTTTGCTTTGTGTTTTAATGCAGCTTGCCCCCAGGAGTTTGTGCAAATGATAGAGAGCAATACCGAATGACAAAGTCAAAGACTAATGTGTTTCATTTTCATTTGACATTTAAGAATGCCTGAGAGAGACTCTCCATTCTTTGGTTGGGGGTGTGTACCCTAGAAAAGGTGAACCAAAGAGAAGGGGGGTGGTCCATTTAATTCTTAATCACGTGGGAATGTTAGAATGAAGCGTCTGTCCTCTTAAATCTGGCTTGCAGTCTGAGGCTCCGAATTTCTGATAGACCTCAGATATTCCTCCCAGATGAGGCTGATGGACATTGCTTTGAGAAAGGTGAGGTTTTAAAAAAGCACAGCTAGATTCTCACTTGTCTTATGGAGTTTGGAAGTGTAGGCTGTGAAAATCATTCTGAACCACAAATCTTAGGGTCACCCAGAGATTTTCAAGAATGATCTGTGTGTTTTTAGAAGGAGATTATCACTTCCATTTCCTTTTTTCTTTGCCCCCTCCCACCCCACCAATTCTTAATTTAGGCCAGTGTGGCTGACTATGAAGAAACTATAAATAAAGCAAGGGAAGCATGGAGAATCTGGGCGGAAGTAAGTATGGTGGCTGCAACATGTTTAGCTATTGTAACTGCAATAAGAAAAGAAACATCTGTTGAGCAGGTCAGTGTTCCCTGAAATGGGAGTTCTTTGGGGACTGTGACAGTCTCTGCAGTAGGCCTAGGATAGTGCCTTTTCCATGTCTGGCCTTCAGTAAATGGGTAATTTTAAATGGCGTGAAACTACTGATGTAGCAGAAACTTGAGCAATGGTGTAAGTCTGGGGAAAGGAAATTCCAGGGCAAAATACCTCTAAAAACCGAAATCAGTCAAAGGGAGAAATAAAGTTTAAAACCCGTTTATTGCTTACAAACTGCAGTCTGAGTCCTTCTCTCTTTATGCACCAGCAGAAGCAAAACAGGCCCTCCCCCTCACCTTTCTGGTACAGATAAGCCCTCTGTTGCCCAAGTAATTACCCTTTGAGGAATGGTGCAAATGCACTAAAGCCATACTTTTTTCCCCCTCTGAATGCCTATTGATATGCAGATGTACTAAAGCCAGGGGGGATATTATGGAAATGTTACAATTTTACCCACAAATGGGTACCCTTTCTTTATTCTCCAACTGAAGTTACTTGAACTTAAAATTGACCAAAAAGTAAGGAATATTTATGCTAAAAATATCCAATTGCTCTTTTTCATTTTTCCTGGCAGCTTTAGGGGGGTGGGGAGGGAGTAACTCATCAATAGGTTGATATGCCTTGTTTTAAGGGCAGGGGCTTGAGTTCATCAACAGTCTGATGAGGCTTTGGCCTTTGACTCTCTCCACTAGGGGTTATTTGAGCAAGTGTAGGAGCTGGGGTGGGCCACACTGGACTGTCACTAGGTGAAGTCAGGCTCTGGAGGAGGTGAGTCAACAGTGATAGCCTGGATTTCCCAATTCTCCTTTACCTCCCCCTACTCTGAATAACCCTTTTAGTCTACTACCAAAGACTCGAGGCCTGGGTAAATAACTTGCTTTGTTGTGTAAAAATGGGAGACCTGATAATGCCTACCTTTGGAGGCTACCTTGAGGGTTACACAGGTTAATCATTTAAAGTGCTGATGGAGAGAGCCTGGCTGGGGTAAGCCTCAGTACCTGAGTTACAAAACCACTAGCTGGCTGAGCTGCAGTGTTTCTGTGAATCAGTGATTGCTAGGGGCACTTGGGAAGGGACAGACCCTCCAGTTGGGTTGGACCCAGCTTTGTTGTCTGCCAAGAGACCACCCCTGTGCAAAGCACGAGCAACATTTTTCCTCTGCTTTAACTAATTCTGGCTTTAAGTTAGGCTCAGGGGTCCATTATATGCAATCAAAACTTGCCTGAGCAGGAAAACACTTCCAAAAGTAAACAGTATTCTAAGTAAAGTTTACCCTACCTGGAGAATAGTGTCCAAAGCAGTGTCATTTATTGTTTTAAAAACGACTTTTATTTTCTAATCATAAAAGTAATATGTACTGCTTACTAAAAAAGAAAATTGGCTATTACAGCAAATAAGGTAATCGAATTTAATACCCTTTTCTCACCTTCCATACAGAATGGTTATTGGAGTTAATATTTTTGATGCATTTCCTTCCAGTCTTTTATGTGTCTATTTCATAGCTGTGATTATTATACATACATGTACACATACAGCCTGTGTAAAATTTTGTGACCTGTGATTGCATTGTATAGCAGCCTAAAGTTTCTGCATAATTTTTAAAATCATTGTTTTCCTGTATGTAATAGTGTTTTTTAGAGAATTAATGAACTTCATTTTTTAGAGTAGTGTTGGGGAGGAAAAATTTTCCATTCTGCCCTTCTGGGTTCTGTGGCTGGTCTAATAATTAAATTGACATAAGAAAGATTAACAGGAGAAAAGCAAAATTTAGTTTCACATGGGGGTTAGTGTGGGGACAAAGATAAGACCCAAAAGTGGCTAGGCAATTGAGGCTTGTGTACCATCCTGTGCTAAGGACAGGGATAGGTGCCTGGGGCTTCCAGGGGGAGGGTGGCAGTTAATAGAGAGATGAGAAGAGCAAGTGTTTGGTAAACAAATGTTTGACCTGCCATGCAGTTAAGCCTTTCCAATATGAAGTTACCTGTCTTCCTGGTATAGGCCCCTTTATGAGTTTTAGGCAGTTAATGGGGGAGGGAATTACTTTTTCTTACATTGGCTGAGCTCCTGATTGCCTTGAGCTCAAAATAATTCAGATGCCAGAGTGGCATATTCTGGGATGACTTTTTCTGAATCTCCCTCAATAGAAAGATGAGTAAGAAGTAGAGAGTTCCTCTACCCACTCATCACTCTTGGCCAGTGTACCTTACTACTAACCTCTTGCATTTATCACACCTTTATTACAATTGGCGATTTGTTAGCAACATAATATCCTTTAGGATTCACTCTTGGCATAAGCTGTTTTGAATACAGTGAAACTTGGCCAGGGACATCTATCATATGTATGTATTTACAGAAGGTAAATATGATCATGTTTGAAAAAAAGAGTGTGTGAACTCAGGTCTTTTCTCAAACTGGCTTTTAAATGAGCTGCCTGGCCCCAGGGGTGGTAGCTGACATTGTTGTGTCTTTCTTTAACATGGGGCTGTACTGTGTTGTTGCATGTGTTTGCATTCAGGATCTCACTTGGCAGTCTGCTCTTACCCAGCAAGCCAGCCTCTGCACCTAATACCCTTTCTCATACTTCTGGTACTTCTGAGGCCTCCCAGTAGGGTGGCAGTGCTGAAGTGGAAACTTCCACAGTGGTAGTAGAGTCAGTTGGGGATCCCACTAGTTAGAATTGGAGTGATGCAATTGAGTACAAACTTTGGGGGAGGCAGAGCCTGTCCTAACTGCCTTGGGAGCTCCTACCAGTGGGGGCTTGGGGCTGCTGGTGCCCCAGATGAGAACTGACCGATGCCTGGGGCCCCGCTGGTCCACGCACTTTCTCCTCTTGGATCCTCACTGGTGTGGGGCAGCTTCTGCTTGGCCGGGGCCCTGTGGCTGGCCTTGCGGGTGTGAGGAATGAACCACTGTTTAATTTAGTTCATTTGTGTTGAGCCTGGAATTTTTCAAAGGGAACATGTTTCTTTGAGGGAAAAGGAAAATAAAGTATAAATGTATGGAGAGGTAGTTGATAAAAAACTGACGTCTTCCTAATGAGAACTAACCACAGAGAACCTGGTCGGGAATACTGGCACTGCTGCTTTCCTTCACGAACTGGCTTCAGCCCAAAATGCCACCTGTACCTGCCTCTCTGTTACCTAAGTGTCCTCATTTTTCCCTCCATCTCTGGGGAGGAAAAGCCAGAGTCCATTCCTCACTTGAGGACAGGGAATGGTTAACAGGCGTAAAGGAATAAGGGATACCTGGCTGGGCTTTAACACAGATATTTATATTGTTTCCCCAAAGGCTCAGAAGATCCTTCCTTCCATGCTCATTGTTCCTTCCTCAGGGCTGTCTTGGATGCTCCTACATGTGACACATGAAGTATTCAGGGCTGGGAACGCATGTTGTCCTTCCGGAGGGTCTGAGGCTATTGGCGCCCTGTCATGCTAGCATCCATCAAGCTCCAGGAGAGGTGGCTGTCTTTCTCATTGCCTACGCCCCCTGAATTTCCCTTTCCCCAAACCCAATCCTGGCTTTCTTAACTCTTGCTGCTCCTACAAACCATCTGGGAAGCTGGAGAAAAAGATGTCAGGTTTGAGTGGTCTGGAATAGAATCTAACTTAAAAGCTCCTTAGATGGTGATTCTAATGTATAGTCGGGATTGAGACTCAGTCAGTCACAAAGTCTTGAATGTTTACTGTTACATTGATCTCCATTGCTGTTTTTGTAGCCTGGGTGGTCACCATCTCTGGTCTGGCCTAATCTGCCTGAGTCTTGCTTCCCTCCTATTCATTTTTCAGCACCACAGCTAGAGTGCTGTTTGAAAATGCATGGTGATGTCCCCCCTGCCCTTTGGGTTCTGCATGTAGCCCTTGGCAGTGTGGTCCCAACTTTCCCGTCCTGCCTCTTTCTCTGCCTCCACTTTCTCTGCCTCTTCACCTGGTGAGCACCAATCCTGTTTTGGGTCTTAGGCTGCAACTCTGAACTTCCTTAAAAAGCCTCCCTTCTCCCCACTCCCTTACCTCATGTAACCCTAAATTAACACTCCCAGGTGGCCCTCTGTCAGGCCACTTACTTACTAGAGATTGTAATCGCCTGCCTGTTGCTTGTCCCTCCCACCCTCACTGCACTGTCAGCTTTAGTGATCATGACTTGGAGCTTGTTTTCCTTGTATCCCCGGGGAATAGCACAATATTTGGCGCATACAGGGTGTGCAATAAGCTGTCTTTCTCATTGCCTACGCCCCCTGAATTTCCCTTTCCCCAAACCCAATCCTGGCTTTCTTAACTCTTGCTGCTCCTACAAACCATCTGGGAAGCTGGAGAAAAAGATGTCAGGTTTGAGTGGTCTGGAATAGAATCTAACTTAAAAGCTCCTTAGATGGTGATTCTAATGTATAGTCGGGATTGAGACTCAGTCAGTCACAAAGTCTTGAATGTTTACTGTTACATTGATCTCCATTGCTGTTTTTGTAGCCTGGGTGGTCACCATCTCTGGTCTGGCCTAATCTGCCTGAGTCTTGCTTCCCTCCTATTCATTTTTCAGCACCACAGCTAGAGTGCTGTTTGAAAATGCATGGTGATGTCCCCCCTGCCCTTTGGGTTCTGCATGTAGCCCTTGGCAGTGTGGTCCCAACTTTCCCGTCCTGCCTCTTTCTCTGCCTCCACTTTCTCTGCCTCTTCACCTGGTGAGCACCAATCCTGTTTTGGGTCTTAGGCTGCAACTCTGAACTTCCTTAAAAAGCCTCACTTCTCCCCACTCCCTTACCTCATGTAACCCTAAATTAACACTCCCAGGTGGCCCTCTGTCAGGCCACTTACTTACTAGAGATTGTAATCGCCTGCCTGTTGCTTGTCCCTCCCACCCTCACTGCACTGTCAGCTTTAGTGATCATGACTTGGAGCTTGTTTTCCTTGTATCCCCGGGGAATA